CCCTGAACACTGTTAACCTTTCCAGAGTTACTACTGAGAAGATAATAGCCTTGTCTACAACCTGCGTGTGTCTGTCTGTCCTTCTTGAATTTGTGGCTCTGCCTCCTTCTTCCTGCAGGGGCTTAGTCACCTGGGGGTGGGTGATGGGGACAGCAGATTGGAATGGCAACCATGATAAGGCAGCCCTGATGAAACAGACCACGTTGAGGCCTCCATCTTGGAATAGCTACTTTAGTGACGCTACCATGTTTCCATGGCAATTACAAGTCACAGGTGAACCAAGACCTTGTGGAGGCAGCCCTCTGGGACTAGCTATTATGGGTGGGAAGGAGGCAGGCTGGCTGCAGTGGCAACTACAATGAGTTAAAGAGGAACCAAAGCCCAGATGGGGAAGACTACTCTAGTGAGGTAGCCATGATGGAATGGTGGGCACTAGGTCTCATGGTGGCCCGGGGAGCCACACACGATAAACTGAACACCATATTGAGGCAATGTTGAATTGGTGATGTTGACAAAAATGCTCATGACCTGGTTCTTAAGTTCTTAAGTGGCTGATCTTTATTAACTTTAATAATTCATCTTTCTGGCCCTGAGGTAGGGTACTTTGATCTCTGGTCCTTTTGTGATCTTACGGATATTGGAGGAATCAGAGTCCCCAGAGTTCAGAGGTCTGTGGGTCAAGTCTGGCTTCCATGGCTTGAAGCTGAGTATAAGAAAGAGTGTCTCAGAGGCCTTGACCTGCAGATGTATTGGCAGTTTTGGGATGGGTGGGTGGGGTGACTTTGTACTTACCTGGAAGGTGGGGAGAGTGGGGTGTCTCCAGAGGAAGAGGCCCCCACAGGTTTCAATGCCCCCACCTTCAAAGATTGGTGCTCCTCCCCTCCCCAAGGCCTTATAGGGAACGGGTCATCTGGTCTGGCCCACCCTAGCCCTTCAAGGCCCAGGTGTCCCCTCTCCATATTCCACCGAAGTAGGTCAAGGGGAGAGAGGCTGGGGGATAGGGGTGCCCAATTAGGAAACTATATAGCCACCCTGGCTAGTGTACTCAAGGCCCTGCAGACCCTGCCTTGAGATCTTGCTGTGTCTACACACAGATTTCCTACCCTTTCAGGACTCAGGAGTCGGGCCTTCCTAGGTGCCCGGCGCTCTGAACACAGGAATCCAGGCCCCCAGCCCCTCCCTCATACTCAGGAGTCTAGGTCCCCAGCCTTACCTCAGGGTAGTCCAAATTCTCCGCTGCTTCCCCCCTCACCCCGGAGTCCAGCCCCAGCCCCGCCCACTCCCCCGCCCCACTCCTCCTTGGCAGGCCCGCCCCTGCCCCACCTCCTCCCGCTCTATCGTATCATCGTCCTGGTCGTCCTCCCCATCCTCCACCGTCGAGTATTCCTGCGTGAAAGGCACGGCTCCCCCGGCGGAATGGAAGCGCAGGCGGTACAGCAGCCGAACCCACCGGCCGAACTCGCGGTCTCGGGTCTCGGCCGGGGCCCGCAGCTGCAGGTAGAAGGCGCGGCCGGTGCGGAACTTGACCTTGAGTTGCCAGCGGCTTTCGTCGTGGACGAAGAGCTGGACGAACTGCAAGGGGAACAGCCTGGGAGGACGGAAGGGGCAGAGCCTCAGGTTCTGACGCTCCCTGCCTCGGCACCGTAATTTCCCGCCTGGGCGGCGGCCTCAGCCTTCGCCGCTCTGTTCCCACGCGGCCGCCAGAGGGCGCCGGCCAACACCCAAGTTCACGACCCTCCGGCGGCTCAGAGTAAAAGCAAAGTCCGCAGCACCTTCACCACCAGGCCCTGCAGGATCTGCCTCCTCTGTTTACCTCTCAGCTCACTCTCTCACTCACTCAGCCCCAGCAACACCGGCCCCGTTGCTGTTCCATAAACCTACCAGGCGAGCTCCAACCTCACGACCACTGCACAGGCTGGGAAATCTTCCTCCAGCCAGCCCTGTGGCTTGGCCCCTTAATCTTGTGTTTTTCTCAAGAAGCGCCTTCTCTGGGAGAAGGTCTGTTTACAACCCGTGGCTTACTTGCAACCATGTCCACCCTTGCAGACCTCCCCACTCCCTCTACCCCATCTGATATGTCTCCATAGACCTTACCCCATTGGACAAATTGTCATTTATTCTGTCTGCCTTCCCAGAGGGGTTGTTTGAAGACAGAGACTTTGGTTCCATTTTGTTCGCAGCTGTTCCCCGAGTACCCAGAGCTCACACATGGCAGGTGCTCAATGGATGCTTGTTGAGACGGTGGATAATTTGGCCCAGGTCACACAACAGGGATTTGAACCCAAGTCTTATCCACGTTTTTAACCACAACATGGGGCAGCCATATACCACCCTCTGGCCCAGCAATACTACCTCTAGGAATTGATCTTACAGACATCCTCACGCCTGTATGCATGGATGCCCTCTGCCTACCACACTGGCTATAATCTCAAGACACCGGGCACAACACTATTGTCCCTTAGGTAGGTGGCTCCATCTGTTATGACATTCCCCAAATGGCAGAATAACAGTTGATGTTTACAAAGCGCTGACCCCGTGCCAGGGGCTGTTCTAAGCACTTCACAAACGTTTACTCAGTTTATCCCTGACAGCCCTGGAAGGTGGGCTCTCCTCTTATCCCCATGTTCCAGATGGGGAAACCAAGGCACAGACAGGGAACTTGGCTAAAGCCAGTGAAGAAGAGGTGAAGCCAGGATTTGAACCCAGGCAGGATGGTAACAGCACCAGATGCAAGCTTGGGGTCCAAGCTCATGTATGTCCAAAAAAGGATGTGGTGGTTGTACTTATGTTGATATGAAGTGAATGTTGATATAGTGCTGATGAGGGAATAAGCAGAGTGGAAAAGTAGCATGCACCTGCAGCTGGTTTTAAAGGAAGGGCAGACACCCACAATACGCTTATCCCAACTGGCCCAGGCTAGCTCCGGGCTGCAAGCAGGTTAGAAGTGAGGGACTAGGGGCTGAGTGAGTCTTGATGCTTTATTTGCAGAGCAAGCTCAGTGTTTTTACCTTGACGGTATGTTTATTTGGGGGACAGTGTTGAAGGAGATTATGGGGGTTCCAAGCACCCCTTGGCACTGTCCTTAGTGTCCCTCCCACTGAAGGTCATGACTCAGTAAGCAGTGAGGTCAATTGGTGGGATAGATTAGCACTGAAAGGAAAAGGAGCAGTGTAGAAGAGAAAATGTCCCAGTGCACCGTAAGGCGTCAGCATATTGCTTTGTAGAATCTTCTAAACTTCTACAGGGGCAATACATAAAGGCTGTAAGTAGCCTTCATTTAGTTAGGTCAGAATCAGATTCTGCCACCAAGTGGGTTGCAAAAGAACTTTTTAGATTTCAGAACTGCAGACAAAGAACTGTGGACCCCTTTGAGCATGTGTGTGTGTGAGATGTGAGTCTTGCTCAGTGGGGAGCCTGCTTCTCCCTCTCCCTCTCCCTCTGCCATTCCCCCTGCTTATGCTCTCTGGCTCTATCTCTCTGTCAAATAATAAATAAAATCTTAAAAAAAAAAAAAGAATCATGAGATCAGTAAGGATGAGGTACGTGAGATTCCAATCCCAACCCAACCCCTGAACCACTGTGGGTCTCTGGGTAATTGGCTCCCCTCTCTGAGCCTTGGTTTATCTCTTCAAAGGATGGGGCTAAGGGGCCCCACCATATGTCAGAGATGAGATCACCTGCATGGCCTACAGGGTGCCTGGTATGCAGCAGGTACTGCATACATGGTTATTCTTCTGATCCTTGCCAGGGTAAGGCTGAGGACTGTCCCTCTCATGTCCATCTAGCTCTGATTTCTAGCCCCCATGGGTTGCCCTTCCCTTGTTCCCCTGGGTGTACAGCAGCCCACAGTGGGCTGGCAGCCATCCAAGACTCCTGGCCCTGGGAGTCATCTGTGTGAGAAGAGGTGCTGCAGGGTGGGGGCCCAGGATGCCCAGAGCTGGGGAAGGAGGAGGTCTAGGCTGGGATGGGGGCAGTCACCCAAAGAGCTGCAGGCATCCGTTATCCTTGGCAGGGCCGGCCAGCAGCAACAGGTCTGGGAGTTCCAGGGCTGGACTGGAGGCTGCCACCCCCATGGTGACCTTGTTGGCGACTTCTCCTAACCGGGTCACCTGGGGCCAGGGATTAGAGGTTAGAAGGTAGATAGATGGAAGGCAGGATTGGTGGGATTAAGGGTCATGAGCCAAGTGTATTAAACACCAAGTCCGGGGTCAGATATCCTGGGGTCAGAGGTCAAGAGTTATCCCGGTGTGAAGTCAGGGAAAATGAACCAAGGGAATCAGAGGCCAGGGTTCATAGAGAAGCTAAAGGTCTAGAAGCATGGGGGTGGGGGTTGATCCAGAATCCCAGGGGATGAACGTTATAGGAGAATGGTCAGAAGTCGGCAGAGCAGGGGTTCCCCAAGTCAGGACAGGGCTCAAGCCCAGGCTCGGTGTCAGGGGGTTCTGGGGCTCCACACCTGCACAAAGTTGCTCTCAAAGATGGGGAAGTCTCGCAGCTGGTCGAACTCGCCGCTCAGGAGGTGGCGCTGGAGCCGTCCGAGCCGGCCCGTGGGATAGGCTGGAACCAGGGGGCATTCTAGAGAGGCGAAGTTCGGGGGGTCTAGTCCGGGAGACTGGGCGGGGTCCCCCCACCTGGTAGGGCCCAGGGAAGTCCCGCTCTGAGGATAGGGGAATCTGGGCTATCAATCTTCGTATCGTCGGCCCCATCCCTCACCTGGTGCAACCCCGCCAGGCCCGGCTCCGCCTCTCGCCGGCCATCCCACCCGGTGCCTCCTCACCTGTTCCACTGGAGGCCGGCTTAGTCTCGTGCCCCCGCATCATCGCAACACCCCGCCCCATGGGGAGAACAGAGGGAGGTGCCGGCGGAGAAAACCGGTGGGTGGGGCCGCGGGCTCTATCCCGTCACAACGCGGCAGACCCGGCTTTAACGTCACCGAAGAGACGCCCGTTATTGTGACGTCATCAAAGGGGGCGGTGCCCAGAGACCTCGAAAAAGCTGCCGCCACCCGGCTGACGTCATACCCCGGGAGCGCTAGTGCGCATGCGCAAAGAACTGGCGCAGGCGCATGGGCGGCATGCTCCATACCGCCCGACTCACTCCCTCCCCTGGCCTGATGGGAAGGGGTCAAAATGGCGGCGGCCGGCGCTGTGGCTACTCGGCTGCTCCTGCTCTTGCTGATGGCGGCAGCAGCCCCCAGCCGGGCCCGGGGCAGTGGCTGCCGGTCCGGGGCCGCTCTGCGGGGGGTGAGTACTCATTGGCTCTGCACGGGGGGTGGGGCTGACGGAAATCCTGGGCCTCGGGTGTTTAGGTTGGGTAAGGTGGGAATGAGGCATCGCAGGGCCAAGAGGGAAGAAGAGGTGAAGTGAGTATAGTTAGGAAGGCTTTAGCGCGTGAATATGCATGACGGGGCGGGGCTTGGATCGGATCTCGGTCCCTGGGCTCTCGGTGCTGTAAAAACGAGGATGCGCCAAAGGAGGTTGGGGCAAGAACATCGTGTTAACGTTGGAACGCTAGGGAATCCGCAGTCGTTAAATATGCATGAGGAGGTGTGGCCCGGGTGGAACCTTGGCGAATCAGACGTAGGGGCGGCTAAAACGAAAAGGGCAGAGAGGCTCTGGAGTGATTGGATAAAGTTCTGCCTCCTGAATATGCATAAGGAGGGCGGGATCTTGAGTTGGAGGATTAAAATCTGGACACGGCGTTGCGCAGGTGTGAGGGTTGCGTAGGTGCCAGGGCGTGGTTGGAGGACGCAGAGGTAGGAGAAATTTGAATTTGGAGAAATGGAAGGCGTGGAGCCTTGATAAGGGGCGGAACTCGGGCGGCAGCGTCGCTATAGTGGCTCTTAAGGTGAAAACGAGGCCACTTGTATATTAGGTTGGGAAGGAAGCTCAGGTATCCTTTAACCCACGAATGTTTACGATGCCCCCCCCGTGAAGATAGTTGCCTTGGAACTGGAGATGGTTGCCTTGGAAACAAAGTTACGCTTCTTTGCAGGCTTTGGTTTTCTGGGGATTGTCCAGATCATGAATTTTCATAAAATGGGCGGTTCCTGGTGGAATCATGGTGGACAAGTGTCAGTGTTTGGATATGAATGTGAAAGTAAGGTTCCTCCTTCAGCCTGCGTCTGCCCTGGGGTCCGTAGGTCCTGCCCTGCTGAGGGCTCTGATGGTCCTCATCTGGGGCCTCTCTCTCACCTGCAGGCGGGAGCAGAAGGTCGAGAGGGTGAGGGCTGCGGCACCGTGGGGCTGCTGCTGGAGCACTCATTCGAGATCGGTGAGTCCAGCAACGTCCTTGTCTGGGCACTTTCCTGGTGCCCCGTGAAGTCAAGAACTTGGGTCTGGGTGCCACCCAGTGTGAGACATGCCATACATTTACTAAAAGTTTTGCCCCTCAGAGTGTGTTTGCATTATTCTGGGGAGGTTGGGGCAGGGAGGACATGAGAGAGAAGGAACCCTACCTTTGAATACTCCCTTTATCTGTAAGACAAATCCTAGTTTCAGGAAGGCCAGTGCAGCAGTGATAAACTCAGAGCAGACTTCTTAGACCAGTCACCCTGTGCCCGGCACTAAGGGCTAGATGCTCTGCGTGTATTCACTCATTTGCCCTTGCCGCAGTCATGCAACGTAGTAGGTATTAGATATAGCCCCATTTTCCAGAAGGGGAAACTGAGGCTCAGAGGGGCACCACACAAAGTCCTTCTGTAAGTGAATGGTAGAGCCAGGACCTGCTGTACAGCCCAGCTTAAATAACTACGATTCAGGTATTCAGATTCCCGGAGCACAGAGGTCAGTATGGCCCAGAGGTCCGAGCCCCCAAACGCTGGGGCACTTGTTAGAAACGCTGAAGCTGGGACCCTCCACAGACCTCCTGACTCAGACCCTGGCCTCTGCCCGGGAAAGCCCCACTGGTTCTGACATGGCCCAGTGTTTGGAAGCCCCTGTATTTTGCAGCTGGGAGAACGGAGGCTCAGAGAGATTAGGTGACTGTCCCTGGGTCACCTGGCCAGGCAGAGGCAGGGCTTAGGAGCTGTGGTGTCTAGACATTTGCCGTGGGCTGCCCTGTGAGATAGGAGGGCAGGACATGGTGTGGGGGGGTGTCCCCACTTTGCAAGTGGGAAAATGGGGGCTCGGGAGGGGGAAGCAACCTGGTCATTGCAAGGGTCGAGGGGTTCAGTGATGGGGTGGCTGCTGAGCCCTGACTCCCCACAGATGACAGTGCCCACTTTCGGAAGCGGGGCTCATTGCTCTGGAACCAGCAGGATGGCACTTTGTCCCTGTCGCAGCGGCAGCTCAATGAGGAGGAGCGGGGCCGGCTTCGGGTGAGGAGGGGACCCGGGGCTTGGCTGGGGTGTGGGGGGACCTGTGTCTTGGAGCATGCCATGCCATATCGTTAGCTTGTCTCACACCCTTCCAGATTCAGCCAAGATGCTTTACAGTCAGTTAGGAGGAGATTTGCTGGGGAGGAGAAAGAGATCCCCGTAAAGGCCACAGTTAAACAAAAGAAGGTTATTTCTACCATAGCGTGCTTCGTGGCTTCCTCAAGGCTGGTCTCCTCCCTGGCCTGGCCTGGTCCTCCCTAGGGATGGTGCACGGAGATGCAGCGGGCCAGAGGAAGAGAAAAAGGAGGGGCAGAGAGAGAAGCCATCTTTTGGGGACGGCCCACAAAAGCTGCTACAGTCTACTTGCACTCTCTCCGTTTAGCCAGATGTAGTTGCCAGGGAGGCTGGGGATGCAGGTTTCATCGTGGGCAGGCACGTGCCCATGGGCACCGTCTCTGTGGGAGGTGGTCCACCCCAGCCAGCCTTGCTGTGTGCTTCCCACGTGGTTCTTTGTCACAGCTGCCTCCTAAGAGAATTTGTCACTCCTATGACTGGGGAGTCTAGGTATGGGGTGGGCCCAGGTGCAGCTGGATCCAGGTTTGAGGCAAGTGTCCTTGGGACTCACTCCATCCCTGGGCTGGGCTCTGCTGCCCTTAAGGTGGCTTCTCCCCCAGGTGGAGCACCCGGTGGCTCCTGGCCTCACTCACCAGCGGGGCCTCACTCACTGGGAAAAGTTCTGGGCTAGGGATTAGGGGGATGCTGGTGGGGTGAGACAGGGGAAGGGTCCCCTGGGCCCGGTGGCAGTCCAGGCCTGGCGGGGGCCGCTCATTGTCCTTCTCACTGCCACCCTCCTCTGCCCTGCAGGATGTGGCAGCCCTGAATGGCTTGTACCGTGTCCGGGTCCCTCAGCGCCCTGGGGCCCCTGATGGCCCAGAAGCTGGCAGCTATGTCTCCTCTTTTGTCCCTGCGGTGAGTCAGTGACGGGGACCTTCCTTGTGCCTCCCACCTGCCCCAGCCTGGCTTCCACCATTTGTGCCCCAACATTTATGGACAGGGAGGACTCAGACCTGGCCTTGCCCTCAAGGGTCCCCTGGGCTGGAGGGGGACAGTCCAGGTGGCGGGCCCTTCGATGGGACAGCACAGGACCTCATGGGGAGGCTTTTGCACTTGGACTTGTGCCCGAGAGAGGGGGAACCCATGAAGGGCTTTGAAAGATCCGTCTGGGCCCTGTGAGAGGGGTTGGAGACTTCAGGGTCTTGGCGCGGGCAAGGTCTGGGTGGCAACCCTGCTCCCCCTGCTCCCCCTAGTGCTCCCTGGTGGAGTCGCACCTCTCGGACCAGCTGACTCTGCACGTGGACGTGGCTGGCAACGTGGTGGGTGTGTCAGTGGTGACGCACCCTGGGGGCTGCAGGGGCCACGAAGTGGAAGACGTGGACCTGGAACTGTTCAACACCTCTGTGCAGCTGCAGCCGCCGGCCACCGCCCCGGGGTGAGGGTGGGCAGGGTACAGGTGCTCCGGGGAGAGGGCGTGCGGGGTGCGGGTGCCCCGGGGTGCGGGTACAGGGCAGGGGCGTGGGCAGCCCAGTCTCTGTCTCAGCCGTCCTTCTACTGGCTTCGCCGGGTCCTCGTTGGCTGCCCCCAGCCCCCTTACCCTCTCTCCTTCTCCCCCGACCCCTAGTCCTGAGACCGCAGCCTTCATTGAGCGCCTGGAGATGGAGCAGGCCCAGAAGGCCAAGAACCCCCAGGAACAGAAGTCCTTTTTCGCCAAATATGTGAGTGGAGCTCTGCCTGCCCCTGCTCCCTTCCCTCCTGAATCCCCCTCTGCCCTCCTCTCCCCTGCGGCCCTCGGCCTGTTCCTCATCCTCCAGGCCTCCTGTGCGTGGGGCTTGCTTGTCACCTCCGGGCCCGTCCCCTGGCACCTGGGCCGAGCCCAAGGCCTGGGCGGAGTGGGTGAGGACTGTGGAGCCATACGCCCTGCCTGTGCCTGGGCCTGTTCACGGCAGCGGTCCCAGGGCGTCCAGGCTCAGCCAACGGCCAGCCCGGGGCCAGGTGGTGGGGTGAGGCGGGGGAAGGGTCCTGGGCCCGGTGGCAGTGCAGGGCTGCCTCAGGTTGGGGGCAGGTGCAGCACAGGCCGTGTCGGTCTTGAACAGAGGCCTGTCTGGAGGAAGGGCAGTGAGGAGGGCGGTGGTCAGGGGAGGGATGGGGTCAGTACGGGGAGGGGGCTGGGACAAGGCCTGAGCTGGGCCAGTGCTGTGAGGCTGAAGAAGGGAAGGAGACAGAGATTTAAATGGAGCGGGGAGCTTTGGAAAGGCGAGGCTGGGTGGGATCCTCCAGCCGGGCCTGGGATGCTGGTAGCTTTGAGAAGGGGCACTTAGGGGAGGTAGGGCTATGAGTGGAGGTGCTCAGGAGGCTGGTCTGGAGCTGGAAAGGGGCAGGCCTGTGCTGCCAGGCTGGGGCTGGGGGCACTGGGGCAGGAGGCTGCTCCACCCAAGGCAAGGGTGGGAGACAGCGGAGGCCACTGTGGGTGGGAGGATGCCAGGCCCTACTGCCCGGAGTGTGGCACCTGTGGGGCCTCCGTTGGTTTGCCAGTAGCTCCAGACAGCCGCGCTGTGGGGAAACTGAGGTCCAGAGAGGCCAAGACCCCACTGCCCCAGATCTGCCCTCCCCAATGGCCACAGGACCCCATGGCCACCCCTGGCCCTGACCTCTGCCCCCTCCCTCCTCAGTGGCACCTCATCCTCGGGGGGGCTGTGTTGCTCACAGCCCTGCGTCCTGCCGCCCCGGGGCCCACGCCGCCGCCGCAGGAGGCCTAAGTGAGGACTGAGCCCCCTCCCGCCTCTACCCTCCCTGCACCCCACCAGCCCTTCCCCAACCTGTAGTGATGTAGGGGACCTGGGCCCCCTTCCCTCACGTGGCCTCCCCTCACGCCGGCTCCCCCACCTTCCCGCCCTGGGGGAATGTGGCTCATACTCATGTCTCTTCTTTCTGTCTCTCTCTCTTTGTTTGTCTGTCCGTCGTCCCACCCTCTCACCTGGCCCACAGTGGATGTACATCATTCCTGTCGTCCTGTTCCTCATGATGTCAGGAGCTCCAGACGCCGGGGGCCAGGGAGGGGGAGGCGGCGGGGGTGGTGGTGGGGGCAGTGGCCGCTGAGGGGCCGGGGCGTCAGTGCCTGGTCCTCTTTCGTCCAGGCAACTCCCTTCCTGCCAGAGTGCTCCTGTCCTTGATCATCCCGAGAAGGATTTGCTAGCTCCTCCCAGCTCCATCCCATGAGGGTAGAAGGACACTCCTCCCCAGGAGTCCTTTCCCTCTGGGCAGACGGGTGGCCAGATTCTGGTGCACCCTGCCTTCCCCTGTGGTCCCTCCATGGCCCCAAAGACTTCCTCTTGCCCACAGCATGGAGCTCGAGCTCCTGGTCCAGCCCTGACCTTGTGTTTGTCCCCCTTTCCCCTGAGCCTCGTAGTTTGGGAACATGCCGAGTTCTCTCCAGCCTCTGTGCCTTTGTTCGTGGTCTTCTCGCCCTGCTTGTCCCTGGCTAGGCTAGAGGGTCCCTCTACCTTGTCTGACACTGGATTGGGCCACGCACTTCCCACCTGTCTGCCCTTGAGGGGCCTGGCACAGAGCAGGTGTGGGCTGGCCATGGGCGCTTCCTGGGCCCCATTCGTCCCAGCAGCCCTGCCTTGGGACCCCTCTCCGGCCTTTATCTGCCCATGGCTCTGAGCAGGAGTTTAGGTGTCCTGCCCTGTCAGGATGCCAGGCCTCCCATAGGCTTTGGGGCATGAAGAAATGATTTTTAAAGTAAAGACAAAACTAATGTTTAGTAGAGTCGAGGGCCGGATGATGTAAATAGAATCCCTTCCCCTGCCTGGAATGTCTTCCCTGGGACGGGCCACCAGGAGAGGACTGGTGGCTTTTCCTATTTATCACCCCCCCCTTTGTCTATTTAAAAATATCGACAATATATTGAGATACGTCAAGGTTTTGAAAAGGTACGACTGCCAGCAACCAGATGCACCCGTTGATTTGGTTCCAGGGAAGTCCTGGTGTACAGGCTTGATTGAGTTCCGCGCACGGCTCTGTGTATCATTCAGAAGTACACAGAAATGGCCGGCACGGTCCCTGTGATGCCGTGTAACCCTCCGTGGTGTTGTATGGCAGTTTATTAAACCGTTCCCCAAATGTTCAACATGTAGCTTCCTGCTGGATGTGGTTATAAATAGCACGACAGCGAGCACTCTCCAGTCTCTCTTTGGTGAGTTTGAATTATTTCCTGGGGATGCTTGACCAAAAGTGGAATTACGATGGCAGATTGGAAACACTTTTATGAAAAAGTGGTGCATTTCGTGTGGCTCTGCTGTCAAAACAACATAAGAGGTGTGTGGTGGACAATTGTTTCCCCCGCTTGCTCTTATTTGCTTCATTTCCCTCCTTGTGTCTGTCTGTGCTGGTGCGGGCAGGTAGGGACACACGCTGTCCTTTCTTTTTGTAACGCACAAGTAGCGAATCCCCTACACAGCCTTGCCCTGGCTTCTTTGCTCCTGCACCATATATTCTGGAGACTTCCCCTAGTGGGGGAATGGCCTCGTCTTTTGTGCCCTACCAGAGACGTGCGCCAGAGCTCATTCAACCTGGCCTCCACCTACGGATGTCACCCTTTTCACAGATGCAGATGTAACCAAGATGAAACCCCAGCGCCGGCCAAAGGAGGGTGGCGTTGGCGTTTGTAAACATGACCCATGTTGCTAAGTTGCTCTCCGTGGAGCAAACGCCAGTCCCCCTTCCCCCATGACCTTGTCAGCAGATGGCTCAAACCTCTCCGTGTTGTGAGGCTCTGCATCTGTCTCAAGAGGGAAGTGGAGCCTGGTAGCACCAATTGGGATTTTCTGGGAACCGTTCTTGTCCTTTGCTCAAGGGCAACACTTAACGATTTTGAACTCCTCTTGTGATTTGTCTGACGCCTCAAGCCACCCTCTCTGTTTTCTGGTTCCTCTGGATTCCTGTCCTGCTGTGGCCTTTCCTTTGGCCCTTCTCTTCCCTCAGACCTCGCTCCCAGGGGCCAGCCACTCCCCGCTGTGCTGCAACAAGTGGCCTGAGAGTCCCAAACAGTCCCACCGATTTGCAATTCCTCAGTATTTTCTTCAACTGTGTTGTTGTGTTACACACCTGCCAACATTGGGGGTTATCGTTCGACCCGTTTCTTTGTGGCTTAAATACATAAAACAGTGTTCCAGGGGTGCTCTGACTTGGCCCTCTCTTTCCCGTCTGCGCTCCACGTGAATTGCCCCCATGGTGTTTCCTGGTGCTTTCTTGGACAAGGTTCAGACTTGGAGTTCCTAACCCTTTGTCTCACTGGCAGGTGCATTCTTGCCCCAGTCATTTGTCGGACCATTTTGTAATTTTTTAATGGATTGAGATTGAGCTCTTTACCTATCTGATTACCTTCTTTTCCTCTAAGACTCTTTGAATCACTCTGGAGCCGGCAGAGTTAATCTGCGGTATATTCCAGTCACTGTCTGAGCTAGTTTGGGCTCCTTGGGGCTCTGTCCTCATTAAAATTTTCTAATTCTTGCCTCTCCCTGGAGAGCCCACTTACTATTTCATTTTATTGACCAGGGTATCCAGGGATATAGCATGGAACTCAAAAGATACCGCAGGATCCAAAGCAAAGAGCCTTCCGCTCACCCCAGCCTGGCACCTGTTCCCCTCACTGGGGGCAGCCTGAGTTTCCAGTCTCCTGCTCGTTGCTCTGGAGATACTCTCTGCATAAACAAGCAAACATCCATGTAAATAGTTTTACAAAAGTGTGTAGCTCTAGTTGTTTTTTTTTTTTTTTAAGATTTTATTTATTAGAGACAGCACAAGTATGGGGAGAGGCAGAGGGAGAAGCAGACTCCTTGCTGAACAGGGAGCCCGATGCGGGACTCGATCCCAGGACCCCGGGATTGTGACTTGAGCTTAAGGCAGACACTTAACTGAGCCACCCAGGCACTCTGTAGCTCTAGTTTTTTTCTCCCTATCTAAGTTGGAGAGGTTTCCATCTTGGATATAAAGTGCATCCTCATTCTGTGATGTAGCTGGCTCGGAGTTGACTTCGTTGGTCCCCGTGGAGGGACCTTCAGGTTGTTGCAAGCAGTGCTGCAGGAATCCCCATGTGGCCGCATCTGTTCGCACACATGCACATGTGTCTGCAGGACACACAGCCAGAGGGGGACTTGCTGGGGGCAGCCTCAGCCACCTCCCATCCACACTGGAGCCCCTCTTGCTGACTATCCTCAAACCCGTCTCCCGCCCAGACGTCCTTCCTGGTCTCCAGACCGTTGGCTCCTTCCCCAGGCTATGCCTCTGGGAGAGTCTGCCACCCATCTGCCCCCAGTCGGAGCCCCTGCAGGAATCCTTACTCCAGGAAGTGGTGCCACCACCTGCTTGGCCTCACAGACCAGAGGACTGCGGTGCCCTACTCTGCTGTTCCTTCCTGCCTCACCCCTTCTCCTGTCCCCCCTCGGCCCCAGTCCTGGCCTCATCCTCCCCCACCTGGACCATCAGCCCAGCCTCCTTCCCTGGCCTCACGGGGGGACTTCTGACACCAGAGCTGCCCCCCACTCCTCCCCTGCTCTGAGCCTTCCCATGGCTGCCTAGTGCCCTCAGGACAAAGTCCCAGCCCCACAGCCTGGCCTTGGAGGTCTGTTAGTTTCCAGTCTGTTCCTTTTCAGTCTCATTGACGAGCACCCCCCAACCTTAATGAATGAGTCCCTCAGATACCACCCAGCCAGGCTGCAGGCACCCTCTAAGCCCCCATGGCCCCATCCACCTTTCTGCCATATTCCTCCCTCTCTGTCCCCGTGGAGCTCAGTGCCCACTCTCTCCCTCCTGCACTCTTACCCTGGCCTCCTGACCTCTGGTCTAAGGTGGGAGAGCACCTGCAAGGTAAATGCCCAGGGAAAGGATTGCCTCCCTCCCCAGTTTCCTGCCTTGCCTTTTGGATGCCCTTCTTTGCCCTACAAAATGTTACCTGCTTCCTGGCATTTAGGAAACCCCTTTCCCAGCCCAGCGTTTCGTATGGTCACTTAGGTATACTTAGCACAGAGTTATAGGATCGGCAATCTTTTAAAATATATAAGGCTAATTTTAGTATATTTTAAGACTCTACTATCCAGAATTGTGCATTGTAGCAGGTGGCTTTTGGAATGAGTTCTATAAGCTCCTTTATTTAACCCATCAGAGAGACTCCATGGTGAGGATCGGAGACCAATCCCAGGGCTTCTTTAGCTGTCATTCATCTCTGCCTGCACCCACCTCCCAGTCAGCAAGGCGTAATGGTGTCGTTACAAAGGAAAACGCCATTTGGCCCAATTCCTAGAAATAGGCTACCAAGCAAACTCTGTAAACCAAATCCCACTTTCCTAAGTTTCCCATAGTAGGCATGTATTCATTTCCACGGCAACGCAGAAGAGAATCCACCCATAGGATGACTTAAAAACATGAAGTCTGGAGGTGTAAATTGGCATACCAAGAAGCTTGCTGGGTGTGATGTTTACATATTGGCCAGGAGTAAAAATTTTACAGAATTTTGCTTGACACCATTCCTGGTGTCTAATACAGCTGGGTTACAGTTCCGTCCTTTATCAGTAGGTGGTGATCAAAGATTTCACCCTGCCTGAGAATGCCTCTCAGACCCATAGGATGCTCTCCTGGGTACTCTGGGGAGGTCAGGTCCACGTGGACCCTCTCCCTGAAGAGAAGTGCCTTGCAGGGGGTACTCTTGGCCCTTGGGAAGGTCGGGGTTCCCATGAATCCTCTGTCCTAGCAGATGCCGGTCTTCAGGAACACCGATGCTTATTTGCTCATCTGTGAAATGGGAGTCAGGTGAAGTCCTCCCATGCTCCATGTTGCCTGAGGAAGAGAAGATGGTGGCAGGTTGGGGAGGAGGACGGGGCAGAAAGGAGGCAGCCCCCTTCTCACCAAGCGCAGACAGGAGTCCAGGGATCAGGAGAGTGGAGGAGCCAATCCCTGGCCAACCGCAGGGTGGCCCAGCCAGCCCAGCCCTGGCACTTACGTGCAAGTGTCTTTAGGCAACTCACTCCCTGTCTCTAAGCCAGTTCCTCGTATCCTCCTTCCTGAGCTGGGAGCAGGCCTCATTCCTCCAGGCAGTGGCCAGCATCCAGGACAGACAAAAAAGAGAGAAAATGGGTGTCACAGAGGCCCTTCCACCCAGGGGGGCCTCTGGCTTGGCAGCCCTGCTCCAGGCTGTCCAGCCTCTTGCCACAAACCCTGCACAGATCCCTGGGAGGATGTCAGCTCCGAACTTCAGGGAGGGAGAGGGAAGGAGAGGGAGGCAAAGGGAGAGGATCTCAGAGCTCCTGCTGAGGATGCGTCTGGCTGACAATGGAGGGGCCTCCCTGACACAGGGAGACTGGGAGACGAGGCGCAGCAGAGGAAAGGAGGCCAGTGGGGAGGGGGGGAGAAGTCTCGGAGGAGAGAGAGCGGAGGTGACAGATTCAGAGAGGAGAGAAAGGAAAGAGGGAGAGAGAGAGAGAGATTGGAAAGGGGGAGGAGAGAGAGAAGGGATGGAGACAAGCAGGAGGGGAGCAAGGAGGAAAGGCTGGAAGAGAAAGTGTAGGGAAACAGGCGGAATGAGGAGAGGGGGGAAAGGAAGCTGAGTGAGAAGACGGGCTGGGGC